TTATAAGGTCTTCCAACTGTAAAATCCTATAATTCTATGAAAGTAAAAGCACAATTTTCCCATATTAAATTATTGTACACTAAGAAAAGAGGCTTTAACCTAAAGGACAGATGAACTTCAAAGAAATTATGATCTCCATTGATAATTTTCAAATATTTGTTACTAAAGATTCTGGCTGAATTCTAAAAAGGGCATTCTGTATTATCTCTTGAATAAAAAATAAAATGAACAATATACTTTTTTAACTTAAATTAACTTGCTGCATTAGAAAAATTATGAACTTTGGCTTCTACAGATTGTTATTCTGTCCAGTCTGTATATTAGTTTACAATTAAGGTTTAAAATTTCATGTTATGTTCTATAACATATGAAAAATCAGAAGACTGCCACCAATTTTAGATCTTAATGTGAATTTGGCAATATACATAAAGGTTCCATAACTGTCAGTACCAAAGACTAAAGAATCTGTGAATTCATTTTAAAAAAATTAGATGGGCAGGATACTACCAACATTGTGTCACTGCAGTGAACTTACAGGCAATTCTACTTCTCATTATATTCTGACCACTTATTACTCATTAATACTTCTGAGAGTGGGTCAACAAAAGTAATATGGCAGAAAAAAGGATCAGGTTTGCTAATTATCAATTTTTATTTTTAAGGTAGTTTATAACTCTTTAAGTTACATTTCCAGATTACTTGAGTACTGAAATTACCCATGCCCTCCCAGTATATTATCAAAACTAAAATAATAATTAGTTTTACCAAGATTTGGACCCAATATTTGTTAGATATTAAGAAGAAAAAAGAGGAATAATCTTATTTTAATAAGAAACAATGGGTACTCTCTTGGGACCCTCAGAGCTAGAATCCTAGACATTCATTATCTTAACAGTAGCCATAGGGAGAGACAGACTTCTAAACATTTAAATAGTTAGGTACACTTAAAGTCACATGGCGTACACTGGCCTGGGAAAAAAATAGAAGAAAACTACAAGGTGATCTTCAGAGTATTTGAATGGATATGTACCAAGTAGCCAATAACCTTACTAGGAAAAGGGTCACTAATGTAACTAAAGTGAAAGGGCCATAGTGCAGATTATGACCAGCTTATGTCAACAGATACACAAAAGTACTTAAAAAATCAAATCAAATCTGTAATTTACTAGAAATGACTAGCTGGTATCTTAGTTTTGCTAGTGCAATAGCACCATTACAGCAAGGGCAAGCAGGTCAATCCCTTGCAAAACTTACCTTGATTGGCCCAATGGAAACAGAAGGCCCCAGAAAAGAGAGAAGCATCTGGCAGTAGCAAATTGTTTTATTTTATCTTTCTGTGGAAAGAAACTAATTTTAAATAAGAACCAGAGCATTTAAAGAATAAATATTTTTTAAAGCTCATTATGTAGTTAGAGCAGCTCAACTAAGAAAACAGGAAGAGCTCCTTGCTGCTTAGAGATGGAAAGAAACAGAAGAGGAATCAAAGTTGTTTCTCCATCACCTAGGGAGTTTTAAAACTTGCAATATTCTAGAGCAGAGGTGAGGAACATATGCCCTCAGGCATTATAAAGCCCTGGAATCATTTGGTCTGGACAAATTAAATGTTTGACCAAATACAGCAGGGTCATTTTTAAGTTGATAATTTTGTATGGACTGCAGATGATGCTATGAATATCCAAATGCCCTTTGGCAGAAAAAAGGTCCCCTACCCCTGTTCTAGAGCAACAAAATAAATGGTTCTTTTATTTAAGAATTCCTACAGGCAGAATCTTTGGGCCTGGTGCCGTTGAATAAACATTTTTTATACAAAATTAAGAGCTATATTCCAAATAAAAAAAGAAAAGCACCTGACATTAATTAAGCTCTTCTACTCTTCTAATATTAAGGTAGCGTAAAAAGAGAGACACAGAGCAAGCTCCTTCTCCACTACAATTTCACCAATAACTTAAAATCATCAAGGCTTAACTGCTTATCAAAGTAAACTATTAATCAGCAGAAAGTTCATACCTAATTGACTGGCTTTCCAAAACATTTTGTTAGCCTAACGTTTTGATAATTTATTGAGATACTCAAATGGAAAGAAACCAGTCACCAAACTAATTTTAAGAATGAAAGCATTTAAAGAATAAATATTTTTTAAAGCTCATTATCTATTTAAGAGCAGCTTTAACTAAGAAATATTAGAATCTAAGGGGGCATAAAATTATTCATAGCAACTAAACCTGTTACTTTTCTTGAAAGCTTCTCTAGAAACTCAGTTCTATTGAATTTACTGAGTCAGCATTAAAATCTTTTGGTCCAAATCACTCCCACAAAATGTCCGCTTTCAACTTATGCTGGAGATGGAAGGGACAGCTCAAAGCAGGAGTGCAGAAGCAAGAAGCATTAAAAGAAAACAACACAATAGTGTAAGTGAAAAACGAACTACCTATTTGGCACTGTCCTATTAAGAATCAAATTAGAGTAGAACATACCCACCTCCACACACAACCCCACACACACAATAAGGACGCTATTTCAGAAATAAAATTCATTTTAAACAGCCAAAGACGTAAACAATTGCAATTTCAGATTCTATGCATTTACACGGTCCCCCGATATAAATTATGTTGATTTATCAGATATTTATTCTTAGAACATTAACTTCAATTGACATACTTGTGGGAAAAAGTCATTAAACTAAAACGCCTACATTTACAGTGTTACTTTTAAACTTAAAAAACCACAGAACCTCTTAGCTTTGTTGCAGTGAAAGTAGTTATTTTATACAGAAGTCTTCATTTATTCAAAACCGTTAGTGTCATGATTCTACAATTCCCTTATTTGAAAACATTACTTTGACATAAACTTATCCTTAAGAAGCTACAAGTTTTGACCCAGATTTTGAAAATTTTGACACAATACAACAGGCGAAAATAAAAGCAAAATAAAACAAAAACATTCTTACCTGACCCATTGGTGGACCTCCCATTGGGGGCATCATCTGTGGCATCATTCCATGTGGCACAGGGGGCATATTCGCTCTCTGCCCCATAGGGTGCATTCCCATTGAGGCATAATGCATGCCAGGATGCCCCATCTGAAAAATAAAGACAATTTAAACACGAACAAGTGACAATACATACTTTAAAAAAAAAAAAAAAATCTGATTTTAACAAATCAGTTAAGTGTAGCGATGTAACAGTAGGCTAAAGTGTGATTTAATTATTAGGGTAAGTTTATATTTTATTATATTAAACAAAATGCACTTCACCAATACTTATGAGCTTTAACCAAATCCCAGAACAATAGATAAAAAAAATAAAATCATTACTGGACAATTAGATCTTAGTTTTATTTTAAAGCACACTGGTTCGATTAGTTCTAACTGACTTGCTAAGTTCAGAAGTGTATGAAAGCCATTTTAAAAATTGTGATGAAAACAAACTTTGTCCTGTATCACACAGATATTAGACAGCTATTGTTTAAACCCACTTATTCTTAAACTTATTTCTAAACTGATTTTAAGCTTTAAAACGCTGAAGTGACCAAACTAACTCAGATGAGGCTGGTCTTATAAAACACAAATAGGGGTAATCCAGGGACACCTCACTCCTAAAAAATACGCATACTACTCTCAAATATTATAACCTCTAGACGGGTAACATTACTAGTGCCAAAACAAATTTTTTTGTTCTTATTCCAGAACTGAGGTCTGTCATTCACACTGAATGCGAAACAACTAATCCATCCATTTTAATACGCCTTTATAAGACAACTACTGCCTTTACCTGTGTGTCCATCAGTCCCAAGTCTTAAAGCCAGGTGATTACCGCCTGCAAAGTCTCCCAGCTGTGCCCCCTACAGACACCACTCCCACCAGCGGGAACACGTCCCGGCAGCCTCCGAACCCCGTCCCCGCCGTCCCCTCCCACCGGGACGCCCGCCGCGCTCGGGGCCCAGTAGCTCCACCGCGCATCTGCCTGCGCCGGGCCCGCCGGAAACTTCCAGGGCCCCGCACCTTCCCCTTTGTGCATCCCCGCCCTCCATTTCTCTCCTTCGGAGCACGTCCCATCCCGAGCTCTTTCCTCCGTGCTCTCTCCTCCTCCTCCTCTCGGAGAAAGCAAGCTTCCTATATCTGATTTTCATTGTGCCGCTCCGATCCCTTACCGAGGGCCGTCTCCTCAGGAAGCCTTCAGCAGAGACCCAAGAGCCGGAGCAGAGGCTGGAGCCGGACAATCTCCGCTCCCCGTCCCCAGGACCCTGCGCGGAAGGATGGCTCTCCATCTCACTCACCATGAGGCCTCCACGCTCGGCTCCCGTCCCCGGCCTCATCATCGGGCTCAGACTGCTCCGCCGGCGGCCACTGCCGCTGCATATGCCAACAAGAAGCGATCTGAGTGGCTGGCGCCCGCTGGGGCCAAAGGTGAAAGGCTGCGCGGCGCCGCGGGGCGGGACCAGCGGGGCCAAGAGGCTGACAGGCTCTCCCGCTGTCCAATCAGACTGCGCTTCCGACACGCAGCTCTGCGGCGATTCGTCCCCAGCCTCGGGCTCACTCGGCGTCGCCTGCATTGGGAGGGGGAGGGGGGGGGAAATAGGGACGGAGGAAGTTTCTGCTCCGTGTCCTCAGCCGGAAAACTCCACCAACTTCCCCCCGGGAAGGGCAGACAACTGTGTCCCTGCTCTCCTAGCTTAAACCGCCTCACCCCGCAGGGGGTGGGGCAGAGGGGATCTGCCCCCTTCACCCTCCCCCCCGCCCGGATTACGCATGCCCCACAAACCTGTAGGGTGGGGTAGGTGGGAGTGGGGTAGAAGGCTTCTAGCGTTAGCGGTGGCCCGGGCCCGACGCGCGCGCGCGCACTGTGCTGGAGGCGGAAGGGAGGCAGAGGGGAGGCCACGGGAGAGGTCCACGGGGAGGGCTGATCTCCGTACACAGCAGCCGGAGAGCGCGCTCCCGCGCTGGGGGTTGGAGGGGTGGGGTGTGTGAAGGGGGCGTGTCGAGCTGCGTGGAGGGAAGTTGTGGTCGGGGCGGGAGGAACAATGCCAAAGGGAAAGAGGGGTGGGAACTTAAGGCGGGGCGAGAGTGCCGACCGGTGAGCTGTCGTTGGTGGGGGGAAGCCGGGAGGGAGTGAGAGAGGATAGGATAGGAAGAGAGAAAGCGGACAGGTTCGGGAATGTTAATCAGAGGTGCACACGGGAGGGCGCTAGGACCGCGCTTCGGAAAGATGCAGCTTTGGGGCCGACTGTGCCCGGGCTTGCCTGGAGGTGACGCGGCGGCGGCGGCGGAAGCCTCCGGCCGGGACGAAGCCCCGCAGGGAGAGGGGCCCTGACTGCTCTCTCAGGCCTCGCCTCGCCTCTCTCTGCGCCGCCCCTGACTTCCCTTCCCTCCTCCTGCCTGAGGGGTCGGGCCCCGGTCCGGGGGTGTCCAATCTCTCCCCGAGCCTTGCGGCAACTCCCCAGCCCCACCTCGCAATCCTCCTGCGCACCCCTGCGCGCCGGGGCCGGATGGTGCCGGCCGCGGGGAGACCCGGCCGCTCATTGGCTGCTGCGTGAAGGGGGCGGGGCGGCTGGGAGATGCCCGGCCTCGGCGCGGCTCTGGGTGTTTCCCGCCATGTCGTTCATGGAGAGCGCGAAGCGCGCCTCTCTGCAGCGCCGCCGCCGCGGTACCCCAGTCCCTTTCGCTCGGCCGAGGGTGTCCGCCTTTACTCAGGGGGACAGTTGGGGTGAAGGGGAAGACGACGAGGAGGTATTCGACCAGGTAGCCCGCGACCTTCGGGCGGAATTGTCGGCGGGGGCGTCGTCCGAGCCCAGGAAGGGCGCGCTGCTCCCCCCGGAGCAGGATGGTTCCCCGGTTCTGCCCGATAAACGCAACGGCTTCTTCCTGGCGGAGACGCGCGGCCGGGCGCAGGCCCGCCGGTGGCCGGTCCAGGTCCTCTCCATTCTCTGTTCGCTGCTGTTCGCCGTGCTCCTCGCTTTCCTTCTCGCCATCGCCTACCTGATCGTAAAAGGTACCGAAGGCTGGGCCCTGGCGAATCTGTCCCGAATCAAAGTTGAGTCTCTCACCTTCACCACCGTCTTCTCCCCGAAAGCCCAGGCCGGCCAGCCGGCAGCCAGTTCCACCCAGAATCGCGGGCTGCGCCTTTCTTTGTCCTCCCTTTCCCCTCCCTGTTCCTGCAAGTGGGTGGTCCGAGTCAGTTTAAAAAAAAGGATCTCGAGTTAACCAATATCTTGGAGTCAATGAACACTTTTAACAATCGTTAAAAGACAGTGAAAAGTGTGTATAAAATAGGCCATGCGAGCTCAGAGACTAACGTACAAGTGATTAAAGATGTGCTATCCACCGAGTTCCCGAAGGACGGGGATTTGATCCCACAGCCCAAACTGCTACTTTCATTGGTTAAATATGTAGTCCCTCTCGGTTTTGTAGCGATCTAGTTTTGTTGCAGGAGCTAGTCTACTTTCTCTGATTAATAGTTTTCTTTTCCCGTGTCTGACTTTGACATAGGGCCAGATTTGACTAGAAGATGTGCCTTGAAAAGTTTTCCAAACTCTACACGGATGTGTTATGTGGTTACAGTGGAAAGAATCAGACCCGAGATCAAATCTCAGTTTTCACACCTGTGTGACTTTGGCAAAGTTACTGACAGGCTTTTTACCTTTAATGTATGAAACAAACCCAACACACTCAAGTATTTATTTTAGTTCACTAAATCGAATTAAATCTATTTAATTACAGTTTTTATTTTTCCTCATTACTTCCAAGCCACTAATGGGCTGCAAATGGCATCTAACAGCTTACCATGCTTAATGTTCAAAGGAAACAAATTGGCAAGTTTTACCTATTCATACAATGGTAATTTTTTGTAAACTCTCGATGTTAAATACATGTGTGCCATATCATTCCCTCTATCACTCTTCTTACTCCCTTCTTTTCAATGCAGTTTGAGGTTTATTCTACTCAGCATGTTGTAGGTACTTTTATCTCTTTTGCTCTGAGAGATTGCCTTTTTATCATAAAATCACAGAACCTGGAAGTCCTTTGCAGAAGACTGCGTTGTGCATATTTCAGAGAATGGAGAAAGGAACTGAATTTAAAAACTAGTGTGCCTCATTTATTTGCATTACATGAAATGCTTTCACAACCACCCCAGAGAATAAGCATTCCCATTTTACATATATGGCAGTTGACTCTTACCTGCTTATAGAAAGTCACACAGCTACTAAATGGAATAAGTTTGAAACCAGTTGTTTCTGACGCTACAGCACATTCCACAACTCCATAGTGTCTTCCTTTCTTACCCAAGCCCAATTTTGTATTTGCAGAGTTACATGCTGAGAATTTGAAGAATGAAGATGAGGTAGACACGGGGCTATTAGGTATGTACTTCATTGTTACTTGACAAATTATATGTATATATACCCCTTTGACCATACACACACTAGGAATACATTTTGAACAGAACTGTATGTGACAAAGTCCCAGAGAATGCTTAATGTTTTCTAATTATGTGCTGGACGAGTCTCCCTATACCCCTTCCAGGAATTACAAACAAGGAAAAATAACTTCCTCACAAAGTTAGCAAAGATACCATGTTAAGCAAACCTCAGGAGAAATTTAGGTTTAAACAAATGTAAGAAGCATTAGGCATACTTGCACAGTTCAGTTATAACTAGGAAAGTGTCGGACCTGAGTTTCTATAGAATGTCTGTTGAATTCTATAATGCATTTTTCTAGTGAAAAATTCAAGGGGGATTTATATTGTATTTATTTCTCTCCGCACAAATGATTTTAAAGAGTTCAGAAATTTACCTGTCTGGCATATTTATTCTATTTGCTATAATTTATTTGAATAATCACTCTGAATTGGGGGGCAAATGGTTGAGATCCTATCCCACTTGTCACCCTCCTCTCCTAATGTTAGCAAACTATTTAATGTATCTCTTCAAGGCCAGTACCCTCATTATGATACAAAGTATAGTCTACCTGATTTTTGCAGAATGGGACTTCTTTCTCTTCAAATTCCAAACTAACTAGTTTGCTACATGTCCCATGAGAATTTGTCTCTACCCTTCTTAACTTCTTGCATGAGAAAACACGTATTTATTAACTCATTTTATCAGTGTCTGTTGTTATACTATTTCATTTCTTAAAAAACAGCCAAGAATATGAAGGTTTTCATAGCATTTATTGATATGTAAGCTCTTGATACAGTTGTGGACTAGCCATGAATTCTAACTTTGTATTTAAAAGTTGGCAAGATTTCACATTTATGAAAAGAATGAATGGCACTTGCCATCTGAAGGAATGGCTTGTTCAGTATCAAAAGGAATATAATGGGACTTTGCCATTGCTCAGCTTGATGTTCCACCAGTTAAATAGTCTGGTATTGCCGAAACCGGTTCGGCTCAGTGGATAGAGCATTGGTCTGGGGTCTGAAAGGTCCCAGGTTCAATTCCGGTCAAGGGCATGTACATTGGTTGCAGGCACATCCCTGATAGGGGGTGTGCAGGAGGGAGCTGATCGATGTTTCTCTCTCATTGATGTTTCTAGCTCTCTATCCCTCTCCTTTCCTTTCTGTAAAAAACAATAAAATGTATTAAAAAAAAAATAAATAGTCTGGTATTACTTCTAGGTATGCTTAGTAGATATTTGACAGCAAATAGGAAGATCATTGTCTAATCTTAGATAATGACATGGGAATCACTGTTTATAGGTGTGTGTTTTTGTGTGTTTGTGTTTTTTTTTACTGTCCCAGATTGTTTATTAGGTAAGAATTTTACAAATGTTACTTACATTACATCACGTCACATTAGGTAACGGTGGAGCTGTAGTGTATTGAGCCTTCTCCAAGCTGCATGGTAAGAACCACCAGTAAAGTAGTGGAACCTGTGGCCCTTTCTAAGGCCAGGACTCTTGTGGCTTACAGATGTCAGCCCCCTCATCTCCCTGGGCTTGGGGACTGGTTTGGTGATCCATTGGGTATCAGAATTCCTTCTGATAGCCTTGTGGAATGAATCAATGAGGATAACCTCAAAAAGTTTGTATATTGAATCTTCACCAACCCAGTAAGAATTTAGGACTCTCAGAGCCCCACAGTGGTGTTCAACTCACTCTTCCACAACAGACTGAAGGCTTTGAGCAAACTTTAGTTAAATAACACCAACTGATCAACAGGCTTGCCTTAAGTTGCACTCTTAGAAACAGGTTATTTGTGGCCAGCATAGAGCACATGAATCCGTTATATGGCATAACTCTGCTTGGCCTTGTATCCCAACCTGTGCACTTCATAGGGCCAGGTTAGGAAGAATGCTATGGGGGCCCTTGTGGAGCATAGAGATCTGGAGAAACACCCCTGAGAAGGAAGTGCATTACATCAGAGTGCTGCTTCCTCCACAGCTCCTGGTTGTACTTATAACTGCCCATCTTGGCTTACCTAACGGCTGTGGGTAGACAGAAAGGAAGAGCCTTTCTCCCTTATACTTGTTTTTTTAAAGATTCATGATGACTCATGGATGGTATCAACGCCTCTGGGGAGTTACTTGATCTAATCACTCATAGGATTTGGCTGTCATACTGTTCATCTTTACTAGTGAGGTAGTCCAGCCAGGGAGGTGATACATTCAGCTGGTTTTGGAACGCATATCCCCTGATCTTCCCTGGGTGGCATTCTTAGAGTTTTCCTTTTATGATTGTCCTACAAACAATATTCTATTATAAGCCTGTTTTTCAGAGATATTAATAAAATAAATTTAAGTTTATTTAGTTAAAATCATGTTTCAGTTCTTCCTCATTAAGGCTATTTACTGGTCAAATTTATGGTACTAATATACAACAATGTGTTTTTTCACTTAATGCACATTGGTTTTTATATCACATTTCATAAATTTAAGTTTATTTAGTTAAAATCATGTTTCAGTTCTTCCTCATTAAGGTTATTTACTGGTCAAATTTATGGTACTAATCATATACAACAATGTGTTTTTTCACTTAATGCACATTGGTTTTTATATCACATTTCATAAATTTCTTTTCAATTACATATTTTCTCTAAGTCTGTTTTTTATTAGTATTCTTAGAATAATAATTTATCTGAAAATTTAGATTTTCTGTGTCAGGATCTCAAATCAACTGATTCACTTAGAATAGTTTTATAAATGTGATTTTTAATTTTTGGCCATTATGACTACTGCATGGTAAAAGGTTCTATTTGTTGGCAAACCGTCTTGGGCTGTTCATTGCCTTTTATGTGGTTAGGATGTAAATAACATGTGTGCCCCAAACGGGCTGCGACTCCCAGGCTCCCACTTTGTAATACACTTCTTCACAGCACCAGAGGCTTCCCTACACCTGCTCATTTCAGCTTGTATCCTGGCAACCACAGATTCGGTCACTCTGGCTAAAATCTCTGTAATGAGGGATTTATGTTTATATTCAATATATACTTTGTTAGAAGATTGTATATTCTACCTTCTTTTTGAAGAGTGAGGTGTAGGAATAGATTTGGACTTAGGTTGGGAACAGGGAGGACAATAACAAGAATAACAACATGTATTTAAGTCCATGCTAAATATTAATACCTTCCACATTTTAAACTCTGTGCTGGTGAGGATTCCCACACTGACACCCTTCTGGAATACCTGATGTCATTGCGGGGGACAACTCAGGCAGTCACTTGAGTGGTCTGGACTGGCATGTGGCCAGTCTCACAGTAAAACAGAATCAACAGCCTCAGAAATGCTCAGCCTGGTAAGCAATAGTGAAAACTGAATTTTCTTAAACTTTGGACTCCATAGTCAAAGGAAGACTCATCTTGCTTCTTTATATTTACTAGTCAATCAGAATATGTCTGATAGTACCTTTTTGGTTTGCAAGATTAAAGTGGAGAAAAAGCTGCTTTAGAAAAAAAAATATAGGAATTGTTATTACTTGGTGCCTACTATCTGCTGGATATGTTATAGCATGGTGAAGCTAGGAAAATTCCAGGACAAGTGGAATAGGGTAACATAGTTATAGAGCAATTTGTGGCCACCTACTAAATCCTATCTTCCCTAAACCAAGGACACTTTAATAGTAAATGGTTTGCACTTCTCCCCAACCTGAAGATAAGTAGTTTAAATCATCCTACTCTTGGAGACTTAACAGAAATCCAATTAGTGCCATTTGCCAGCCACACCCATTTCAAGCTGCCCATTTTATTCTGTTTCATGACTCCTGCACATTTACAGAGAAGAAGTGATGAAACTAACTCATTTGAAGGAACTAAACTATTTCTTTATTCCTGCAGTTTCTTTATTTCAGCTGGCATCAGAATCATCTAGAAGTACTTCTTAAAATTCATTTTAATGGGCTTCATCTGTTCTAGAGTTTCTGATTGAGTAGGCCCAAGAATTCATGGTTCCAGGTGATGCCAGTGCTGCAGTTTCAGAGAACCATTGGTCTGGCAACTCTCAAACCTGACATATTAGCAACAAAAACTTTGAGGATTTTTTTTTTTTTTTGAATTTACAAAATTTCAGACCCTGTCCTTATCTATTGAATCAATTACTTAATTGACTGAAATCTTTAATGCTCAGTATACCATCAGGGTTCATTAGACCCCTTTTTTATTTTTAAATTTACTTTTGAGAAGTTCTATTTGTAAAGATTGACATTTCAATTACTTTTATTCCTTTTTAGGGGTCTCCCAAGAGAGAAAATTGAGTTATATTTTTTCTAGAATAAAACTTATTTGATCATGAAATAATTAGTAGTCATGTCTGAAAACTGAAGATAATTCTTATATTAAATTTTATAATTATTCTATTGAAGCACCTAAGTGAAAGCTTGATGGGCTTTAGAGAACCTCACATTTTGTTTTAATATTATTTCTGTCTTTCTGACATTTTTAGATATTAGAATTCCCCATCACTCAATAGCAGTTCCTAAACAGATAATTAATTTTTCTTAATTACCATCTTTGTTCAACAGACTTTTATGTATTACTAGAGGCCCAATGCACAGTGCACAGAATTTGTGCACTCAGGAGGGGGTCCCCTCAGCCTGGACTGCACCCTCTCACAGTCCAGGAGCCCACAGGGGATGTCCGACTGATGGCTTAGGCCCTCTCTAATGAGGAGCAGGCCTAAGCCATCAGTTGGACATCCTTAGTGCTGCTACGGAGGCGGGAGAGGTTCCCACCACTGCTGCTGCGCTAGCCAGCCATGAGCCCCACTTCTGGCTGAGCAGCACTCCCCCTGTGGGAGCACACAGCTTCTGCATTGAGCATCTTCCCCCTGGTGGTCAGTGCGTATCATAGCAACCAGTCATTCTGCTGTTTGGTCGATTTGCATATTAGCCTTATATAGGATAATGTCTTATTATGGGCAATGCCTGTAATATTTTTTTTTTTTTTTTTTTTTTGTAGTTAAAGGGAGGGGCAGAATTTTTACTTGAGCCAAGCCTAAAGCTAAAATTGCCCTTAGGTAAAAAACCTGCATACCACTGAGACATATCTTGGTGAGGCTTATTCTGAACCCTCACACTGTTCTATTATGTGTATAAGTGTTGGGAACCATCTTATCTCTTTAATGAAAGGAACCTTTTGTTATGTTACAATGACAACTTTCTTTCATGAGCTGTGTTTTGTCTTCAAGCCTGTATCCAGTATTCATACAGTAACTTTAGCTCTTCTGTTCAATAGTTACCTGGCATATCTTTTATTTTTTTTTCTCTAAATCTTTCTATATTTTTATGTATTAGATAGGAATAGCTCATGGACACAGACAAGGCCTGGAAGGGGTGGGTGCAAGGTGGAGGAGATCAATGGGGGAAAGAAGGGGAAACATCTAAAACAAAGGGACATCTGTAATACTTTCAACAATAAAGTTTCATTTTAAGTTGTCTCTTTTTAATTTTTAAGAGAGCAAGATTTATTTTTTTTATTTTTTTTTATTTTTTATTTTTTCACAGAGAGGAAGAGAGAGGGATAGAGAGCTAGAGACTGATGAGAGAGAATCATCGATCAGCTGCCTCTTGCACACCCCCTACTGGGGATGTGCCCGCAACCCAGGTACATGCCCTTGACCGGAATCGAACCCAGGACCTTTCAGTCCACAGGCTGACGCTCTATCCACTGAGCCAAACCGGTTTCGGCTAAAGTTTCATTTTAAATAAAGGAAAATAATCTTAGTTTAAAAGAGTTTTATGTGAAAAAATTTAAGTAATTTTTCTACACTGTACTTTATATTTTCAACTCCTCTCAAAGAGATATTAATTGACCCTATGTTCACAGATTGCAGGACTGACTGCTGCCATGCCGACCCAGCACTGACTGCCACGGGGACTGTGATCAAACCCTGCTTTTCTCTCCAGGCCTGATCGCAGCCCCCAAAGCAGTCAATGCTGGGTGGATGAGGCACCCACAGCACGGCAGTCAGTGCCATGGCAACCCAGCACTGACTGCCTGCCTGACTTCTGGTGTTTGGTCTAGCCTTCGTTTGTTTGCGACTTACAGACCCTGGCTCTTTAGATAGATATAGATATAGATATAGATATAGATATAGATATAGATATAGATATAGATAGATAGATAGATAGATAGATAAGGTAAGATGCTAAACTTAGACTAAACCATGTAAATTGTATTCTCCCCTTTAGAGGTGGATATTCATCTAAATAATAAAACAGCTATTTGACAATGTAGTCACCCTTAAGTTGTAGTTGTATACTAAGTAATCTTATTTCTACTTTTATCTCCTGTCTTTCTTGTTGGCAGGAAGGTTGTACCTCAAATCTTTACTGTTGAGGTTCTGTTTAGCCAGTCCTAGGTTGAGTTATGGCTCTACCTGCCACTGTTCCAGGATACTGGGATGGCAGTACTTCCTAGTCCTCAAAACATTTGCCCAAATAAGTTACTGCTGAAACATCTTGCATTCTGGTCAGGATGGCCTTTCAGATGTATTGTAGCATCTTCCAGCCATGTGACAATCTACTGTTTCTGTGACCTACTCAGGACAGAGGCACCGGCAAGTGTAGCTATGGGCCCATCTGTCAAGGTACTGTAGCTATAATCTCTTTCTGGTGTTGTGTGGCCTTTTCTTGATAGCTGCTAGGAAGCCCCAACAGCACTACCTCCTCCCTGTTGTACACTCACAAGTGCAAACACCACACACATAACTCACTTTCTTCAAATGGGGGAGTCTTTATCACCTGTAGATAAAGCCTACTATCTCCCTATTCTACACAAATATACCTCAGTCACCTTACTCTTAATCATTTTGTGTTTAACTACTGTTTATACTTAACCTCCTAGTTCCCTTAACTGCAACACAACAAAAGAGACACTAGGGCTAGTTCTCCCTTTTTGCCACATCCTCCTCCTGGGGCAGTGAACAAAAAGTTTGTTATCTTTAAAAGGGGGTAAGGGAAAAGGAACTATGAGGAAAGAAAGTTAATCTTTCAAAAGTACTTTGCCACAGTTTTTCCTGATTCCTTATTGCCCTGAGTTTTTCTTTTAGCAGTTTTTACCACTCTGTTATTGGACTTCATATGGTTTACATGCAGTCCATAGTACATATTTCTTGACTGCTTCTTGCTAAAATAAAGCCATCTTTGGTTTTGCAATTTTGTGTAGCCAGGAAATTTAGTAATTCTCTATTGCAGTATTTTTAACCTTTCCTTCTCCCTTGTACTACTGAAGCCTGAAACACACACTTATCAGTAATTGTGGCTTTGTAAACTCTCAGCAAGATGATGTGAATGTATCTAAAAACCTTCAAATTAATTCTTTTAAAAAAATATATATTTTATTGATTTTTTACAGAGAGGAAGAGAGAGGGATAGAGAGTTAGAAACATCGATGAGAGAGAATCATCAATCAGCTGCCTCCTGCACACCCCATACTGGGGATGTGCCCGCAACCGAGGTACATGCCCTTGACCGGAATAGAACCCAGGACCTTTCAGTCCCTAAACCAACGCTCTATCCACTGAACCAAACTGGTTTAGGTTAAATTAATTCTTTGTTTTCCTTGTGTTTATTCCCCCTCCTTTTCTAATCCTTTTCCCTTTGACCTTTTCATTCTCCCAGTATAGTCACCGTGGTTTCTACTTGATTTGAGAAAATGTAGGTTCAATCTAAATGAAAATAAAATTTAGGATCCCAACCCATTTATAAATTGGGAGTTAATTTAATGTGCATATACTGAGCAAGGTAAAAGAATCAGATTAAATTTATGATGTTCATAGGAAAACTATAAAGAGTAGACACTCAAAAATTGATTCATGTGTCAAAAGTGCATTGGTATGGAAAGAAGTCACTTAGTGCTAAAGTAATAAAAGACAGCAAGCTGTGAAAAAAATATTAGCAGTGAAGTATTTTAACCATTTTTTTCTATAGTTGAATTTTATAAAACTGAAGATAAGTTATACTCTTTAGTTGAATTTGTACTCTTTTCCAAATATTAAGTTATAATTGAATTAAATATTAAATGATAGGACTTATAGTTTTAAACTTCTACATGGGTTAACTTGTACTAAGCTCAAATCTTTTATATCACTTATATATATAAACCAAAAGATCAGAAATGCATATTATCTGAATGCGAGGATACTGGTTTAATTTTAATTGTTTGGGTGTTAATAATTCAAGTTTTCCCCTTCTCTGTTCCCATTAAGGATTCTGGACTCTTCTTGTAATATCCCTGACTGCTGGGTTCTCCTGTTGCAGCTTTTCTTGGACAGTGACTTACTTTGATTCTTTTGAGCCAGGAATGTTTCCTCCTACTCCACTTTCACCTGCCAGGTTCAAGTAAGTATACGTGTCCTAGTTTCTTTTTAACGCATTGCAACTCTCATGAAAATACTAAAGCGATTAAAAGCAAGAGGCTGTTTATTTGGGAGATAATATGTTCAGCTCCCAGTCTTTAACCTGTAAAATACAATGACACAAGATTTGAGCTTGGCTCAAGCCTTTAGATAAATGGGGAGGAGTGTTTTAAACTCCATGTATAGATAATGTAATGGTGTTTTAAAAAATGACATTCAAAAAATGAACTAAGAAGAAACTTAGAAGGCTATTTGTCCTTTGGCAATGGCATTTTATTTAAAACACTTCATGAATGAAGGTAAATTAATATCAGCATAACTACTTAATTGGATTGGGCTTTTCCTCATATTTAAACTTGTGTAATAATTATCAAGCATTTATGGCACCCAATTTAATATTTTGTTGCTAATCCTCACCAGAGTGTATTTTTTCCATTGCTTTTCAGAGAGAGTGGAAGGGAGGAGGCAGAAGGAGAGGGATAAAGAGAGACAGACATCCATTGATGTGAGAGACGCATTGACTGGTTGCCTCATGCACCCACACTTATGGGGAGGAGGAAGCAGCAGGGGCAGGGGGGAGGGTGGTGGAGTGGGCAGGGCAGGGAACAAACCCTCAACTCATGTCTGTACCCTTGACCGGGAATTGAACCTGCGACCCTTCAGTGCTTGAGCCAACGCTCTAACCACTGAAGGCACCATAACACACAATTTATATGTCTAGACCAGATTACATTCATAATGGTCTCTATTTTCTGTTTCATACAGTTTCAGAAAATTCAATAGGCAGTGTTTTCTAATCTACTTTATTTATACCAGAAATGCTCAGGTTTTAAGTATAAATTTCCAAGTATGCCTAAGACCTCTACTTTATCCTACAAATTGTGGTGTTGGGGTAGGGGAAGGATGAAGGATGAAGAGTAGAAAATAAATTCTGTTAAAGATACTGTATAAGAGTATTAAAGTTGCTGTTGCTGTTACTCTAGTCCACTTAATAGACAGCTTGTAGAGATCAAATAAGAAAACTTATATGAGGGGCTCTAAATATGAAATGTAATACTAATGATAATTATTAATAATCATTGTTTACTGGCCTTCATTCATAAAATTGAGTATTTTACTCATAGTGAACTCCTTTTTATGTCTTAGAAATATATAAAAATTTTGGCTTCATTTGAAAAGAATTTATGTGTGCATATATAGCATCTTAATAAACTCTTATCTGTAGTATATGAAATATACGTCATGCATTTGCCAATAAATATTTTGTGTCTTTGAGGTAGATAATCACCTAAATTGACTAAAGTATACCTAACAGTGCAATTCCATCCCATAATTTACCATGAGTACCATTCAGTTGGAAAGTTTATTGTGCTAAGTGATACAGTGTTCAATTCAAATGTATATTATGTTGCTGCCCATTGACCTCAGTTATTTTAGCAAGGGTTCTGTGTCTAATATAAATAATATCATGAGACTTCATAGTCATACAAAATTTAAACCTCATTTTTTCTTTTACTTACATATATATTTCACTTCTCCCCTGAATTTTAGCCCTGCATTTCCAGCTATTTGCTAGATCTTATAGTGTAGATTTCAGAAAGAAAGCACTTTTCACTTAGACTTACTAAAATCCCAAGTCTATCTTAAAGATAAGTATCCATCTACTTATCTAGGGTTAATAAAGTCTAAATCCCAAGAATAGCACAACAGTTCTTCCCCAATTGACCCTTTTCTGCTTTTCCACCTTCAGCTATTTCTCTAACACTCCTTATACTATCCTATATTATAAAGAGGTAATGTGCAAATTGACCATCACACTGTCACAAGATGGTGGCTGCTCCACACACCTTGCCCATCCCTCCTTTCTTTCCTCCCCTGAAGCTGAAGCCTGACTGTGGTGTCCAACAAATTGGAAGTTATAACTCGTCATTGAGAGTATCCTCCATTCCTCAACCAGGCCCAGATGCTCCATGTGCCTTCTGCAGAGTACCCTCAGCGCCGCTGCAGACCTGACTGAGGCTCAGGCAAGCAGGGCCAGCCGAGGCCCAGGCAAGCCTCGGATGGCAGCTGTCCAGCTGCCCAGGGCCGGCCCAAGGCTCGTAACGAGGGCAGGCCAAGGCTTTAGCTGCCGGCAGTGGCAGCAGCAGAGGTGTGATGGGGGCATCGCCATCCCCTGGTTGCCGGGTCGCTTCCTGCCCTTGAGGGCTCCTGGACTGTGAGAGGGGCAGGCCGGGCTGAGGGACCCCTCCCCTCCAGTGCATGAATTTTCATGCACCAGGCCTCTAGTAGTTACATGTCAGGTTACTTTGACAACCCCAAATAAACAACTTTTGATAAGCCATGACTTTACTCTTGCTACTCTCACCTCCTGGAATGTCATTTTTCCTCTCAGCTTCTCTTCCATCACCACCAGAATTCATAAACCTCATAGATATTAGAAGCTTTTGGAGTTAGAGAAAATCATTTCAGTGTTCTCTTAAACATCTGAGATTATAAGGGCATTGAACTAATTTCTTGAAAATTAATTATCTTTGCACTTTTTAAAAACTAGAAGCAGTAGTGATGGACCTCAATTTTCAATGTGTTTATTAGTGATTCACTTTAAATATGAGATAGTGTCAGATCAGAAACTTATTACATATTTTGAATATAGTCCTAAAAATACAGTATTTACATATATGCATTGTATATAATGTTTTAATTCCTTTTAGTATATAAGTAGGGATAAATTAATTTTATATGATAAAAAAGCTACTAAATATCTCGTGAGAATCAACCTCTAAGTTAAAATTATCGTGTGATTAGAAGCACAGTCAAAAACAGCTGTAATAAACATAGAGATAATTTATCACATATTGATGGAAGCCATACACAAGAAAAAAGCATGTAATGTAGTGATGATTGGTGAAATTGACTTTCATAGTAAAAATCCTGCCCTCTAGTGCTTGTGGAAAATAATTCAATTATTTCAGAAATGTCAGAGTAAGTATATTCTCTAAGTCACCAGTAGAGTGAGTGCTTGTATAGGAAAACCTCTCTATCTTTTGAGACAGTTGATATCTTCAAGCTTTATTTTCTAGAAATTGAATTGTTATGTTAATTTGTAACATCACACTTTCACAAAAATATTTTTATAACAAGTTTTATGTTCTTTTATTACCTAAAATAAGCATTGGTGTTAATGTCAGTATTTTTTCCTGACTAAGACTAATACAAGTTCTTTGTTGAAAATTCAAAACACAAAAAGAAAAATAATGGAAAAACCCATAATCAGAGAAAGTGACTGCCAACATTTTGAGTTATATCTTTCCATTCTTTGCATATTTTAAAAATTGAAATTGGGTCAATGGCCACTGCCATCAGCAGTATATCCTGACTAGAGGCCCAGTGCATGGATTGGTGCTCTGGTGGGGCCCCTCAGCCTGGCCTGTGGGGATTGGACCAAAACCAGCTCTCCAGACATCTGAGGGGTCCCAGATTGCAAGAGGGTGGTTCTCGGGTGACACACCCCAGAATCAGGCTCTCTCCCCTCTGTTTCTAGGTGCACCTTAGAACAGCAGCTGCTAAGTCACTGCAGTTGGGCAGCTCCTGTGTTGAGCATCAGGCCCCTAGTGGTCATTGTGCATCATGGGTACCAGTAGAATGGTTCGGCAGTCGCTTAGGCTTTTATATACACTCAGTGGCCAGATTATTATGATCTCTAAACGCATAATAATCTGGCCACTCAGTGTACTTATGCATAAGGGAAAGATTGCAAACCTTGATATGTCAAGGGACCAGAAGATAGTGGCCCCCAGCCTCTGGCTAGTAAGTCCTCTGCTGCTTTCTAACTACTCACAATGCAGTTCTTATACATGGAAAACCTTATTTTATAATCCCAACTCTGTGGTCAGTCTACACTGAGTGGCCAGATTATTACGCGTTCAGAGATCATCATAATCTGGCTAGTCAGTGTATATAGAATACAGACTGTTAATCCTACATAAGAGTATTCCATCCCACAGGCTAAACCATGCCCCCTACAAAAATGCAGAATTATAAAGTCCACAGGAAGTAAAAACCCAGAAGACCATCCTAATGTAGCCCTGCTGGGCTACTGAAGAGCCCATAGTGCCCACAGGCTCATCCTGTGCTTCCTGGTCCTCTCCATCCTTCTGGACCCTTCTTCAGAAGACTGCCTTTTCAAGCATAATTACAGTCTTGCTGGCCATTTGACCTGACCATGTGTCTCTCTCTCCATTCCTCAAACTGAAAAATTCCCTTCCTTAGCAATGCTGGAACAAATTGGCTCTTACTAATGGGACCGAAAGACTTTTGTCTGAAGAAATTAGGGTCATGCTAATTTGATAGAATCACTATTGGGATATTTTTCTAGTCACTTTTTTTTAAAGGCCCCTACATAGAATGACCTAGTATTTGTGATTAAAAAAAAAAAAAAGTCATAGCAGAATCCTCAGGATCCCCACAATTGCGTATTTTATTTTTTATTTTATTTTTTTAGAGAGTGTGGAAGGGAGGAGGAGAAACAGAGAAAGATTGATGTGAGGGAGACACATCAATTGCTGACTCCTGCACATGCCCCAACAGGGATTGAACCTGCAACCGCTCTTGAAATGAATTGAACCCAGGACCCTTTAGTCCGCAGGCTGATCCTCTATCAGTTGAGCCAAACCGACTAGGGCGCAATTGCACATTTTAAATAATGCGAACATTTCATGGACTTGTAAGTGGCAGGCTTTCTTTCATACCCAGGACAGTGAGTATGAGGATAAATATGCTTTGTTGAACCAATAACAGCGAAGGAATAGTCACCACAGTTTATGTTCATAAAGGATTTTAGATGGTGCACATAAAAAGAGAGTCTGCCTGTCTTGATATTTCTAATGAACAAATGCCCCTGCAGCCCCACTTCCTTCCCCATAGACTCATCTGTCCTTAATATCCATTTGTTATATGTAACAGGTAGAACAGGACCAGAGTCAG